GGATATATAAACTGTTATCAAATATTTATTATTAGAATCATTAAGTGTCATATATATATATTAGTCATTTATGGTAATTCCGTAGGTTTTATTTATGGAAATAAAATAAAATAGTAATTATATCTTAGGGAACAATCATTAAGTGTCATATATATATATTAGTCATTTATGGTAATTCCGTAGGTTTTATTTATGGAAATAAAATAACATATCATATCATTATATCATATAGTTTGACTAACTAATGTATCTAGCAACCTATAAAAATCCAATGTGAACTTACTTATTTTTCAATTGAATCTAATTGACTACCTAATTGAATGACACCTATGCATTGTGACCTCTTTTAATTAATACAAAATTGAGGTTACATCTTTTCAAATGTTTCTCAATTAATATATAGGGGATATGATTGCGTTGCAATTCAATACGCAACGGATCAAATTTCAACTTTCAAGCAGCCAATGAATTTTCTTATACGTTCTCCATGATAAAAACCATTTGTTTCTTTATATATTATTGGAATTTTGATTATTCCATTTTGTTAAGGAACTTGAGATATAAATCTTTTACTATACGCTTTATCATTTTCTTAAAGAAATTAATTATTTGGAATTTTGAAAAAAGAAAAGAAGAATAAAAGAGCTGAAACAACATACAGTAATCTTTTTCTATTTTGCACGTGAAATAAAAGCAATCTTATACAAACTTCATCCCTAAAATGTATAGAGCCCTATATTGCATAATAATACCCAAAAAGAGCCCTGATCCTCAGAGACGAGGTCGTATATTTACATTATCATAATATAACTGTCTTAACGTTACTATTTGCCTTTCTTACAATCCAAGCTGGACAGGTACGTTGGCTTCTTGAATCCAATTAGCCGGACCTAACCAGTTAGCTGCGGTGAAACCTTCAACCTCAGCTGCAGACTTAGCCGCCTTAGTCCAAGGAGGCCTCGCGTTCGTTTTCGCTCCTGGTCCACGGTTATTAAACTCAATATATTTAGCTGTCTTGTGGTTTTGTTCTCCTTGCCACTCAGTCCATCCTTCTGGTTGAATCGAATCACTAATCTCACTTCCAACAATCACAGCCGTTGAAAATTTCTTCCACGGCCGTCCTAGATACGATTTGACTTTTTTGTCACCTATAAGGTCCTTGTCAGGCATGATACGACAGTTCTGGAGAACGATACCGATCTTAACCGCTGCACCCTTCTCGTTACCATCGGCTGTAACGTAGTTGGACTGTCCAGGGCTGCCTTTTCGTAAGAGAAGTAGAGAGTTTTGGATCACTGTTGCTGATTTTCCGAAGATGAAATCGACTGTACCGGATACAACAATGTTCCTGTAGAACTGACGTCCGTTGTTGACGTAGAGTGTGTCTTGGTAAGCGTCAAATCTGCAGTTGAATATGACCGCACGGTCTCCGTTCACACGGAGTGCGACCGCTTGGTGTCCTAATGGACCAGCAGTGTTCTTAAACCCGATCCATTTCGCCATGAATCCCTCAGATTCAACCTCTGCATGCATGCATATATATATTTAGATATCAAAGTAATTAAGCAATGAAATCAATAAAAGGCATCTGCATTATGAGTATTTCAACATAGTTTTTTAACATATTATATTAATTTTAATTTATGTTATCAAAAAAATAAAACATTCATGTGAAAGTTATCAAAGAAAAGGCTATCATATCATTCTTTCCATTTTTAGAAATTATCTAATTAGACATTAATATAATTAGTGAGAGATGCATGCTATATGCGGATGGCCTAATAGAGGTAAGTTTAAAATGAGACTTACGAACGGTGGCACTGAGTGAAGTAGTGGTTCCAGGGGTAAGTTTAACACTTTTGTTATTAGTAATGATGGTTTTGGTAGCACCATCACCAAACATGAAAATGTTGTTCCTCTTCTTAGTGATCCTGACCACTTCATTGTAGGTACCAGCCTTTATATGGATAATGCAACGTCCAGGGTTTTTCTCCGGACAAGCGTTAACCGCTTCAGAAATCGTCTTAAACTTTCCACTTCCATCCTTAGCCACCACATGAGTCGCCTTGATCTTACCACCACCACCGCCACCTTCACCAATACCATCATCCCCAGCTGGAGGGCCACCGCGTCCGGCCTTAGCCATAAGCTTCCTGTCTTTGCCAGAAAGCCATTTAGGTAGTCCATTTTGGTCGATGTCTGCAAGAAGGCGACGTGCAGGAGCTCCAAGTCCTCCCATCACGTTCTTCATATCATCAACCTTGACACCCATTTGGGTCATCGCCGTGACAACAGAATGAAAGATATCGATAGCGTTACTAGTCAAAACTTTGGAGTTGGAGATTCCTTCACCCATGATTTTCCTTAACTCCACTTCCTCAATGTCATCAAGACAATCAGTTTGGTAATTAAACACTCCTGTTAACCATTGTTTAAGCTGGTCAAGCTTACTTCCACTCTGCTCAAGATCGGCACCCATTTCTTCAACAATGGTCTCAAGATCCTCAAGAGCGTATGTCAACACTCTCTTGCAGTAATCAAGAACGGCTTTGGTCGTCGCGTTCATGTTTTTTTCCATGCCTCCTTCGGTAGAAGCCGTGAAGTTTGAAGATTTTGTGATTGCGTCTTTTGTAGCCAACAAGAAGGCTTTGATAAGTTTGCTTGGATCGTCACTCTTGACAGGGTCGAGAGTTTTTGCGCATGAGCCTTGGTCTGTGGTTGTTTGACAAATTGTCTGAACCGCTTTTTGATGCGCGTTTAGAGAAGCTTCCTTGCCACCACCACCACCACCGTCGTCTTTATTAACATAGGTGACAACTCCTATGGCAACACCCACTACTAGAAGGACGGAAGCCGCAGATATCACAACTTTTCCTACTGGCATTTTTTTTGTATTTATATATATATAATATTTTTATATTTTTCTTTTTCAATTTTTTTCCTTTTTATGTGTGTTTTTTTATCTCTCCAGTTTTATTCAGGAGGTAAATAGGAGAGATAGGTGATTATTTTTATTTTAACAGATCCCTGTCGATTATTATTGGGGCAAGTAGTATTTTTGTTCTTTGTTGGTATGTTCTTATAGAAGTTGAGGTTTCTAAAATTAGGGTTTGCATGAGCTTTGCATGGAGAGAGATGTTTTAGGCCGTTGAATGGCTACAAATTCTCTAGTGAGATATTGCCTTTGAGATTAAAAACTAGTCACCACAAGATGATTTGATCATGTCTTGATCAAGAGGTGGTAAAATCATTACTAAAAATAAAAGGTAAATGTATTGGGTGAAAAGGTTAGTTTCAGGATTTGAGACCATTAAAACTCATTCCTATATTATTAATTAGTGTTATATTCAGAAAGTAGAATTGATAAAAGCTTCTCATCGAGAATGATATCTCATCCTATAAGAAGTAGTCGCGTCTAGATTGACAATCCAGTATATATAGTAACATTGTACATACATCATCTATTCAGGATATATTATATGGTAATTGAATAATGAAGCTAGGTTTGATGAATGTAATTGGCAGGTCCTGAAAGGATAAGCAAATAAGCCATGGTTTGAGGCTTCATGCATCAAATATATACAAACTAAAGTATGGAGGAAAAAAAACAAATCATACAATTTCGTTCTAAATCAAGTAAAAAGAAAAAGAAATATGGAAAACGCACAATTCTTCTATTTGAACCAGTAATGATAACGGAAATGTCTTCGTTAGAGCTATCAAACCATGTAATTAACAAAAGTAAATATCACATTTCATATATATAATCCGTGGTCTGTACATGAATAAAACCTGTAAGCTACTATTATACATGATCCATTCCATTCTAATATAAGAAACCATTATATTAGAATCAATGGGTATAAAGTAGCCCTACATGATAAGTAACTCTAACAACTACAAGTATAGCTTTCATCAGCATTATACGATATTAATGAGTACTTATATACAAATCCGAAGATCAGTAATAATAATCCGACAATGGTGGCGGTCGGGGCGAAGTGTCTTCCTCGTTAAGCTTCACATTAATACCAAACGTCTTAAAAATAGTAGGCAAACCATTAAACACATCAAACGAGTCACTGCTTAGATTCTTCCCAACTCCAATTCCAGTCTCCACTTCCTTCAACAGATTCTTATCTTCAATATCATCCAAGCAAGTCGAATGGTACCCCGTGATCGACGTTAACGTCTTCTTGCACGTGAAATAGTTACGAGCCAACGTCGTCACATCTTTCCCCGCAGCTTTCCAAAATTCAGCGAAATCTTCTAACGCGTTGTTCAAGTTTTTCTCGCAGCTGTCGAACACTGCAGTTGCGGTTGGGTTTGATTTGTATTTTGGTTTGGTTTCCGTGAGGAACGTCACGCTTTTCTTGACGGAAGATTCAGCCGCGGTTGGTAATGCTCGGATTAGTACGATGGGGTCATCGCTAGGAACTTCTTTAAGTGTTTTGGTGCATAGACTTGTGTCTGATTGGATTACGGTGCATACTCCCGCGATTGCTCTTGCGTGTGGTGTGGAAAGGTAGTCTGGGCGTTTGGCTGGTGCAGCGGTTGCGGTTACGGTTAAGAAGATAAAGGCTAGTTTAATCGGAACGTTCATCATTATTGTGTTTTGCATGGACGGAAAAAAAGAAACGGATTCTGAGGAAGAAGAGAGGTTACATATAGAGAGATATATGCATGTTGTGAATATTTTTAGTTCGTCTATATTTGGTCGATGCATGTTATTTTCTAAATACTTATTAAAAATATGCATATGGTAACGAGGGATTTGCGGGTTATTTCAGGTTAAACGTACGGTGATCATTTCGAATTATTCTTATTTTGTAGACATTTTAATTTTTACGGTTTAATGAAAATACTGGGTATAGTTGAAAGTTTTGCTTTTAGTCTCACACTTGGTCCTGTGTTGGTTTGTGTTGTTCAGTCTTCCTCTGTGGTTTCTAGTTTTAGAGTTTATGGTTGTTCGATCTATATTTGGTCAAGTATGTTTTGGTTAGGGCTGGACAAACAAAACCGAACCCGAAAACCCGAACCAAACCCGATTCAATAAAAGTGAATTCGAACCGATCTGAACCCGACATAAATACCAAATGGATTTTGTTTTGTGGTATTTCGGATTATGAGTATTATCCAAACCGAACCCGAAACTAAATGGATATCTGATAGAATCCGAAACATTCAAAATTTCAAAAAATAACGTGTACCTAACATGATCTCAATGCCTAATATGTATCTAAAATACTAAAAGATATTATTGAACATCTAAAATAATTATCTGTTACATGAAGGTTAATGGTTGAATGTAGTGATTGAATCTTGAAATTTTTAGTTTTAGGCTTTGTTTTTATTGAATAATGTTTCTATTTTTTTTAAGAACTTGATTTTCGTTTTATGTTTTCATTTATTCGGTTTTATTTCTATCAACAATGTACTTATTATTTGATAATGATCATGTTTGATGTTCTTATTTTTGAATCATTTTACTTATATTTTTGTTACAAAATAATTATAAATCAGGTACTTTAAATCCGAATAATCAATTTTAATTATATTTTGGTTACAAAATAAGTACAAATCAGGTATTTTAAAACTAAAGAACTGATTGGGATCCAAATCCAAAAGTACAATGGGTTATACCATTTTTTGAAGATTTACTAATCCCGACCCAAACTTGATAGAATCCAAACCGGTCCCAAACCGAATTTTCAAACAATCCGTACGGGGTTGATTTGGTATTATGAATTGAAATTTAGTGCGAAGAAGAGTTTTGCTTTTGAGTAAACAAACTGATTCAAAGTATTATGCCTCATAAGGTTTCAAAACTTTAGTTTCCGTTTTTTTGTCTAAAGCTTTTTCACATTTTCATATTTAAATATGTATTATGATAATCAACTTAAACTGAACTTACGAATACCCATCTCCGAATATAAATTATGAAAATAGATATGAACTATTAGTACAATTTCTTTTCTTTTTAAGTCCTTCCAATAAAACAAGAAAACACCGAACATACCAAATGTTGAAGTGAATAAAAGCAACAAGCCGAGTCTATCATTCATAAAACATCCTCAAAAATGCTCTCCTTGACACTGACATAAAAAACTATGCGGCCAAGTCAAGCTTGTACAAGATTAGAGAAACTTGATTCTCTAAGAGAATAGTTGAGCACCTCCTTTACGCCAAACACCACGTACAGGCACTCCACCGGTTTGATTCTGGTTACTATTGTTATTGCCATCTTTTGATTCTGGTTCAGGCTCACTGTAAGAAGAGTTGACATTTAGCAATGCTGCCATTGATCCATCACCAAGCCGTACTCTGTGAAACTTGGAGGTTTTCTTACGTTGCTGCTTGCTTCCGGTTGAAGTGGAGTCCACTTTCGCTTTGCCTTTGTCAGACCTGTAGGCATTCTTATCTTTCGATATTACCTCTTCTTCTTCTTTTTCATGAAAGTTCTGTGAGGATTGTAATCTTCTCACTGTGTCCATAAAGTTCTCTGCTACTGCTTCTTTTGGATCAGCAACCTTCACAGCTTTCCCTTTGTTTTTCTTTGAACCTTGACTCTCTTGAGCTTGAGATGACGAACTCTGCGCAGTAGCAGCAGCAGCTTGACCATTATCCTTTGCGTCGTTTCTCAAACTGGCAGTGTGAGCATCAATGAGTTCCTTCTGCCTTCTAGGGTCAGGGCAGAGTCTAGCAAGGTCAATAACTAAGTGAGACAATCCATAACCTTTCACATACTCCAAGTAAGTTCTTGCATCAATTGAACCTTGACGATACTGTCCTGATACATCTTTGAAGGTCATAAACAGCTCTTCATCATGACCAAGTGCAGCTCGCATTTTCTCTACCAGTGACTTATTGGCAGATTGCACATCTGGAGGTGGTTGAGAGTTTGAAGTTCCCTGTGTGATGGTGGATGGTGTCTTGCGAACAGCAGAAGAAACCGGAGGAAAATCTGAATGAGAAGGTTGAAGTGACCTTGTATCAGATAGATTAGGGGCTGAGGATGAGTGAGAAATCGAATTTCCATTACGAGCAGCCTGTGGAATCGCAGAACTAAGAGGTCTGGGCTGTGCAACTCTGGCATGGGACCTAGACTGAGCTGAAGAGCTAGATGCTTGTACAGGTGTGCGACCTATTGCTGGCCATCCGGAAGAAGAGTTTCCACCACCGCCACTTGTATTGGATGCTTGTGGAGGGCCTCGGTTAACAGCTGGCCATCCGGAAGAAGGACTAGAAAAAGCAGTAGCAGTCGCAGTTCGGTTTGTTTGACGTCTTAGACGAGCAGCCAAGGTGTTAGCAGGAGCACTCTCCAAGTTCTGTCCAGATCTAGGTTGACCAGCAAGAGGAGGAAAAGCAGATTCTGGCAGACGTGAACCACCACCACCAGAACTACCCACGGCTTGAAGATATCGCGAAGAGCGTTCCCCATCGGTGGTGGATAGAGATTCCATTGGTTGGATAAGAGGATCACCATCATCAATGTGTCTGTCGTTGTTCTCAGAGAATCCAGGTGGTGGTGCGTTTGAGGGTGGAGGAGGAGCAGGCGGCTCTTGCCGAGAATACTCAGCCTCAGATAATCGAAGAGCAGCATGGACTGCAAGGTTATAATCATCATCACCACCAGGTTCGCGACGGAATGATCGAGGTCTTCCACGACGACTTTCTTGGTCATTTCCACGACTATATCGGAAACTCGTCGGTATCTGGAGCAGAAACACAGTAGAACATAAGCAAGTAAAATGGAAGATAATATAAAATAGCGAAAGACATCAGAAGACATCACATCACATGCCTGTAAAGCAGCAGTTCGCTGAGCACGAGACATCCTACCCCCATGCTCGATGGCATTATGCCTCTGATAAAAAAAAAATATATATATAAGCACTTCACAATAATCCATAGAGCAGAACTAAAATATGAAAAAATTGAAAATTTCACCAAAAGGTGTTTACTTTCAACTCTGATTCGTTTGGGAAAACTATGAACTTCTTTGAAAGGCAGGAGTCGTCCTCACAAAGGAAATGGTCTCGGCGAAAGTGAAGCTGTTACAGAAACATGTAGAATTAGAACACATGCAAGCCATCAACTAACATAAGCTCAAGTGAAGATGACTAATGTTTTACCTCCAAGTCATCATAGTTTTTATAGTATTCATATTTCCCTGTTTGCGCCCTAAAAGAAGCCAATGAATTCATTTAAGTCAACACACTCTCAAAATAAAAGACTTGGCAAATAAATCATTACCTTTGGCAAATGTGACAAGTATAATGCTCAGTAGTCATGTGAGTATACAACTCATTATCACCATAGAAAGGATTCCTACAGAATTCACACATAGGATGTCCCGCAAACCCTCCTCTATCACTCTCACTTCCATCAACTTCAGAGTCACCAGTCTGTATATGTTGGTTAAGCTGAGCCCTCGTATACAACTTCTGCTCACCTATAAATATCTGCCCATATAGCCAAAAACACAATTTAACAAAAAAAAAAAGATAAAAAAACAAACATGCAGAAAGATGAATCTCCCTATACCTTACGTCCTTCAAGACATAAACCACACATATGCAATTTATGCTTATGATATAAATGACCTTTCAACTGTTCAACACTCTTAATCCTCAAACGATGATGCCTTTGGCCACCCCCTCCTCCTCCTCCTTGCTCCTCCTCCGCCTTGTCACAAACACTACAAGAGAGCCTACACATGGCCTTGATCATCCTGTACTGATCCAAGTCATCAAAGAAGGCCTGAGTGTCTTCATGATACCAGAACCCTCCCGCTACTCGTCCTTCCTTTGGTGCTACCGGAAACGTCGAGAAGTCATTGATCGTCCTCGTGTAATCACCTAATGCCTATACACAAAAACCAAATCATCTTCTCAATTGAATAAAGCTAAACCTAATCCGATGATTAATTCCAAAATCCTAGTAAACCTTATTCAAATCTTCGATACTAATTAAATTAGCGAAAATAAACTAAATCAAATCCGTTGATGAATAATTAACCTTGGTGACGAAGATGATGGGAGACTCGGATTTGCAGATACAGCAGCGAGGATCGCCGAGGACGAAGCGGAGACGAACGACGCAGGTGGAGCAGACTTCTCGGTGACCGCAAGATCCGTAGGCAACCCATTCGAGGTTGTCGGCGCAGACGGCACAGCTATCATCCATTGCGATTGTTGCTAATTTTGCGAAGGGAATCGATTCGAAGGGAGAGAGGACAGGGAGATAGATAGAGATTAGAGAGAGAGAGGGATCTAGGGTTCTTTAAAGGCGAGGACGAAGAATACGAAAAGGCTCATGTATATTGATTGGCCAGTCAAATAAGTACGGAACAAGACATTAATTTAATTATTATATTAATATCCACTGGGTAGGTATCAATAGGGGATGTAGCTCATATGGTAGAGCGCTCGCTTTGCATGCGAGAGGCACAGGGTTCGATTTCCTGCATCTCCACCTTTTTACTTTTTATAACTATTTTTTTCCGAGAATGGACTCGGTGAAAAGCCCAGCTATGTGTATTTTGTTTCTCAATTATGACCTAAAAATAATTTTTTCTTTGGTTTGTGACGAAACCAGAAATCAGTGGGTTTTTTTTACTTTTTTTTATAGAGACTTCCAAGAAATTTATTAGCCTAAATCAATTATAGTTTCCCCAAACAAAGTATCAAAATTGGGTCTCGAGAATTGAAATCACATTTTTAAAAATGATGAACATAAGAGCTTGAATCTCCACCAGACACCAATACTTTAGTAAAGTAGAAAAACATACACATACCTAATAATTATGTGAACAATTATTTGACAAATAAAGTTAAGTACGTCAATTACACTCTAGTAACTATCAATTATCTACTCTATTAAAATAGAGTCACTATTTTTATCTACTACAAAGAAGTCATATAGGACCATTTCATTAATTATTTAGTATGACATATTAAATTATTTAGGTTAATCAATCAAATATATATCATATATG